CAGCTAAATCAATACAAAGCAGCCCTAGGGGAGAAGCCTTAAATGAGAAGGTGGGAGGATCCCCATCTACTATCACCTTAAACAATTTGCCCTTCTCCCAGCCTATGCCCCCTGCTCATCCAGAGTCCTGGGTAACTTTAGATCAGAAATGAACCAACAATAATCCTTTTAATCTGTGATCAGTTACAAAAACCCCAAACTCTGGACGGCTAGTTTTGGAACCACTCTAAGCCCTCCGCTAATGAGAAGAAGGGTGCAGGCAATTGTCCTTCATGAGAACTATGCCGCCCATAAGCACGAAGACGACATCGCGGTGGTGAAGCTCTCCGCTCCCGTCCTGTTTTCCGAAGATGTCCACAGAGTCTGTCTCCCGGATGCTGCATTTGAAGTCTTGCCTAAGAGTAAAGTGTTTGTCACCGGATGGGGAGCACTGAAAGTAAACGGTGAGTATCTCAGTAAAAAAACAAAAACCTCCATCTGAGTGGAGATATGAAATAAGATACCAAGTCAAAATACAGAAAATAAGAGGTTAAACCATTATGTCCCATGAAAAATATGGTGCAAACAACAAACAAAAACCAGATATTGTGACTTATGAAAACTTTGGCTATTACTATTACACGGTATTTATGTTTATTATATTCTTTAGGGGTTTCTCTAAAAACTAGTTATAACTTTTCAAACATAATTAAAGCATATTTTTTCATATGACTTTTTTTCTTTCATTGCTCTTTCAGATGTAAAGATTCTGTTATGGCTACATAATTCCTAAAATATGTTATTTGTGAGCAGTAGTAATGTATCATAAACAGAAATAGTCTTAAGAGAGCAATTTGAATGACATTCCTGATGCTGAATATTAAATGGGGCCTTCTGATCTATTTATCTATAAAACAGTTTTTTGAGTTTGAGAGTTTATGAAGTTGACAAGTATGATATTTTACTATACTTAATAATATATAATAAACTGCTGATAGACAATTAAATAATGATGTAAGTTTCCAGTTCTCGTAAGCTGCACTCTTTACATATGGTTTAATCTGTCCTTGACTTTCTGATTCTCATTCCAGGCTCTTATTATGAAGTTGTAGTCTTATTATGTTCTTGCTCAAAGTACAGCTTTTATCTACCGAGTCTTCATCAGTTGATTTTTATAGATATCTGCTCTCTTTCAATATGCACTCTAAAATTCTCACATGGGGTCCAGGTTGATACACTGTTTTTATAACCTGAGAGTCCTTTTCCTCATTACTAAGGGATTGGCCTTGTTATATAGGGTATGGTGATAAGTATAAAGGAGAATTAAATGATTTGGAATTAGGCAAACTGCTTACTGATTGGAGCAGAAATATATAGCATCGACCACTAGGGCAGGACCATGACGCCTCCTCTAGAACCTAATTAAACTTAACATCCCCCTTTCCAGAGTTGTAGTTTCGGAGTGATTTGTGAGTTCATCATGAATCATTCAATGCCCAAAAGTGTGCAGAATACTGTGTATTGACCTATCTATTGTTATAAGTTGCATCCTTTAAAAAAAACCTTTATTGTTGAAAACATTACACAGGCCTTTTTTATGAAGCAATAATATTTTATCTATTTAGTATTGAAGTTAATTCCTGATAGTAAAGACTTGCTCTATATTGCTTTTTCTAAAGGATTCTCAATTCCCAATATAAGTGTGTCATTTCAAGAGTGATAATCCAGACTTCCTGTAAATTAGGTAAACTGTGACAGATTTTCCCAGGTAGTGATAAATGCCCTGACTTTTTATCTCCATTTAGCTAAGTGATCATTGCAAGACTCATAGCCAAGTGATCTTTGGTTTATTCATCTAAAAAAAATCCATATTTATCTTTGGTAATTGTGACAAGTATGAAGTAAGACAGTGGAAATAAGCATGCCAAGGATGATAGCTAACACATAGAAAACAAAAGAGCATCCAGGAAATATAACTTGACTCCGAAGCGCTGTCATCAAGCCCAGAGCCCAACTTCTAGACCAGTGTTTCTCAACCTTCCTAATGCCGTGACCCTTTAATACAGTTCCTCATGTTGTGGTGACCCCCAACCATAAAATTATTTTCATTGCTACTTCATAACTGTAATTTTGCTACTGTTATGAATCTTAATGTAAATATCTGATATGCAGGATGTATTTTCATTGTTACAAATTGAACATAATTAAAGCATAGTGATTAATCACAAAACAATATGTAATTATATATTATGAAATATTTATTTCTAATTACAAATAAATGAAATTTTGTATTGAAGCATGGTGTAGCATGGGTAACAGTCTTAATATAACAACAGTAAACTACATTGCTACATTTTGCGACAGTATGTGTAAAAAGCCAACGTCAGTCAGTTCGAAGGTTGAGATTGCTTCTTTCTCACCAGATCAGAAATTCTCAGGGCAGTCTTTGCAAGAACACAATGAAGATCATCTTCCACAACAAGTCTACTTCTGTATTTAGACTTGATAACCAACAAGCTGGAAAACCCTGTTTCACAAAGATATGTTGTTGGAAATGGAAGAAGGCGCAACACAGTCTCAGATAGAACAGGATATGACTGCAAACATTTGATCCAGAATTTTGTAACTGGCATTATAGAGAAATCAGTTCTCGCTGCATCGTTGTTAATAAGTTCAATGAACTCCTCTTGTGCTGTCTTAGGAACATCTTCAACTTTGTGAATGGGCTCTGGCAAGTGCAAATGGGGTGTCAGGTAGATTTGGGAAGTACAATGAAATTTCGTCTGCAAGCATGTGCAAGTGTTCTTTCACAGAAATTATTATCGTAATCCTTTTGTCTGGTTCAATGTCATGTTCCTCAAAGAAAGCAGATAAGGTAGGCAACATGTAAATTTTATTTTCATCCAATTTTTTTTGCCAAAGCTGAAGTTTCATTTGAAATGATAGGTTCTTTTCAGACAAATTGAGGCATGTTACATTTGGTCCTTACAGTGATAAATTTAACTCATTCAAATGGGAAAGATGTCAACCAAGTAAGCTATTTTCTGCAGTTCACTTTTATCGCCGAAAAGTGCTTTGAACTGCGGTCTTGCTTTCTGATTAAAAAACGTTTTGAGTTCATCACGAAGCTCAAAAACACGTTTTAAAAATTTTCCTCTCGACAACCATCTCACTTCAGTGTGACATAGCAGAGCGTTGTTCAACGCATCCAACTCGTTGCACAGCTGCGAAAACAGTCGACTGTTTAAAGTGCTCACCTTAACAAAATTGACACAACTTATGACGCTTTTCATTACTTCTTGTAACTCTTGTGGCAGCGTCTTCGTTGCTAATATTTGCCAATGAATCATAGAGTGAGTTCCGATGACTTTTGGTGACTCATTCAGTACCAAACGTTGAAATCCAGATCAACATCCTAGCATAGCTGGAGCACCATCTGTGCAAACACCACAAACCTTTCCCCAAGAGATCTTATGCTCTTTCAGAAATGAACCAACTGTGTCAAATACATCATGTGCAGTAGTTGTCCTATCAAGAGGTTTGCAAAAAAGAAACTCATCTTTCAGGTCGCCATCATTAATATACCTCACTTAAACCAGTAACTGTGAACAGTTTGCAATGTCTGTAGATTCATCAAGCTGGATACTAAATATTGGAAGTGGAGCAGATTTAACTTCCTGGATTACCTGATCAAGAATATCAGCAGACATGTCATCTATTCTTCTGCAGACAGTGTCATTAGATAAGGAAATTGCACTCAATTTCGTAGCAAATTCGTCTCCGATCATAACTCGAACAATGTCTTTGGCCACTGGCAACAGTAAATCCTTAGCAATGGTGTGAGGTTTCATAGCTCTGGTGATTCTGAGTGCCACCAAATATGAAGCTTCAACGGCTGCTACGTTTTGTTTGTGGTACTTGACACCAGTGTCAAGTCTGGCTTTCTTGAGTCCATCAGCTTTGCTTCTAAAATAGTTGGTATCCTTGTCGGCAAAGCTCGGATGCTTGCTATCAAAATGGCGTTTTAGTTTGTTCGGCTTCATAGATTCGGCTGATAGAACTTCACAACAAATAACACATTGCAGTTTCTCAATTCCAGCTGTAATTATTGAGGTAAAACCATACTGTAAAAAATCCTCACTATATTTTCTTTTCTTAACGTTCTTCTCTACACGATCCATTGTCATGGGATGGTTTGCTAATGAAAATAATATATAACAATAGCTATGATAATACAAAAGATGATACATGGCATAGTTCAGTCAATACAGTTTATTAAAGTTTCCCATGATTTACCATTCTCTGTGTTGTTGTTTTTTATATACCTGTTACTATCACAAGGGGGCAGTATTCACATCAACCACAGCTGAATATAAAAAAACAGATCAGCATCCAGATTAAGTTCCCATGGTACAGATATTTTTTTTTTTTGCAGTAGTTGATGATTTTACAGTACATGATTTTACATTTACCCAGTAATTATAATTCATGAAGTATTGTTTTACCTCCAATACTGCTGCTTTCAACACAGTAGCTGCTTTTAACAGAGTAGCTGCTTTCAACACAGCAGCTGCTTTCTACACAGTAGCTGCTCTCTACACATGTGTGACTGGTCCTCATAAGTACATTATGGCACCAACCCTGTCACATACACCTGTATTTGTACGGGGTGTATGTGATGGGGTTGGCCCGATGATGTCATTACGCTGGGTACTCGTATGTGGGCGTATCTGCATGTGGACGGACCCGCCTGGAGACGGATAGAGGAGTGGTGTCTTAGTTCCTAAGACCATTGAAAATATGTGTTTTCTGATGGTCTTAGGCGACCCCTGTGAAAGGGTCGCAACCCACAGGTTGAGAACCGCTGTTCTAGACATATATTTTATCATTAATCTATCCTTTGCAAGACACAATTAACTATTATAAATACAAGAATTTGGAAATTCTTCACTTATTTACTTTTTTCTTCTTTAGGTCCTTTTCCCAATACTCTTCGACAAGTTGAAGTAGAGATCATAAGTAATGACAGATGTAATGAAGTTCATGTATACGGTGGTGCTGTGTCATCAGGAATGATATGTGCTGGATTCTTGGAAGGAAAACTCGATGCCTGTGAGGTAAGACTAGACACAAATCCACAAAAGTGAATCTGTTGAATAGAGATGAGCTCACTGTCCATAAGTCAATGTCACTTCATGGATCTCCATAAAATTAAGTTGTGCAGGAGAGAGCAGAGTATAAAAAGAGGGAAAGGAAGAACCATAAGAAATACTCCTATTATTGTCTCCATGCATATGTAAAAAATGACCACCAGATGCACATTAGTGCTCTAATTAGAGAAAAGGAGTGGCAGCAGATAAGAGAAACTAAGTCAGGAAGCCACACAATCATTGCTTCAATCCATAATTATAATTGATAGTTAAATATCTAATCCCTACTAGTTGTAAGGCATTGTGAGATGGGATTGGCAGTAGTGTCATTTTACAGGTGCTTGAGCCATTGACCTTAAATAGTACATCCAGAGAGAATTATACATTTAAAAAAAAATTCTTGCCGGAACCGGTTTGGCTCAGTGGATAGAGCGTTGGCCTGCGGACTGAAGGGTCCCAGGTTCGATTCCGGTCAAGGGCATGTACCTTGGTTGCAGGCACATCCCCAGTGGGGGGTGTGCAGGAGGCAGCTGATCGATGTTTCTCTCTCATCGATGTTTCTAACTATCTTTCTCCCTTCTTCTCTGTAAAAAATCAATAAAATATATTTTAAAAAAATTCTTAATCATTAAACATTTAAAGAGAATATCACTTTTATTTTTCCCCTTTTTAAAATTTATGGGGTAACACTGGTTAACAAAATTATACAGGTTTCAGATGCACAATTTCACAACATATCACCCGTACACTGTATTGTGTGTTCACTACCCCAAGTCAAATCCCTCTCCATCATTTATTCCTCCTATGGTCTCCTCCACCTCCCCTCACCTTCCCTCACGCTGGCAATCACCACCATGTTGGCCCTGTCTATGAGTTTATTCTCTCTTTTTTTTTCTTTTTTGCTCAATCCTTCCACCTCTCCCACCCAGCCTCCCAACTCCCACCCCTCCAACCGCTGTCAGCCTGCTCTCTGTTTATGAGTCTGCCTCAATTTTGCTTGTTAATTCATTTTGCTCATTAGATTCCACATATGATTGAAAACATATGGTACTTGTCTTTCTCTGACTGGCTTAGTTCACTTAGCATAATGCTCTCCAAGTCCATCCATGCTGCCACTTTTAAAGTCTGGTTATATAAAAGAAGAAAAATAAATATCAAAATTAATAAAGATTTTTACCTATAGCATTTGAAACTGAGCCCAACATTTCATAATTCTTGAAGGATTAGGAATGGCTTTGAGATTTTTACAGGAGTGCTTTTTTTATATGCAAAGTTGCCACCATTGATCTGCTATTGGTAATAAATATTCACTTATTCATTCATTTTTTTAGTGAATTGCAAGGTACTATGGCAATTACTGAAGGAAACATAAACGCTTAAAAAAGCAGGAGTCCATGATGAATTTACAATCTAATAATAGCACATAAGTACATAACTAAAAGCAGTGGACAAAAGACAAAGATTTGGCTACATTTTCTGGAATACAAGGCCTCCTTCTACTAGTTTTAATTCTTTTTTTTCTTTTTTTAAAAAATATATTTTATTGATATTTTACAGAGAGGAAAGGTGAGGGATAGAGAGTTAGAAAAATCGATGTGAGAGAAACATCGATCAGTTGCCTCCTGCACACCTTCTACTGGGGATGTGCCCGCAACCAAGTTACATGCCCTTGACCGGAATCGAACCTGAGACCCTGCAGTCTGCAGGCCGATGCTCTATCCACTGGGTCAAACCGGTTAGGGCTAGTTTTAATTCTTAAGAAGCAGAAACAACATGTATGCTTCAAGATAGAACTGGATCACATGACTTTTAAGGAAGAACACAAAAAAGTCTATAATTAGGATCCAGGGGTGGGCAAACTTTTTGACTGGAGGGCCACAATGGGTTCTTAAACTGGTCCGGAGGGCCGGAACAAAAGCATTGATGGAGTGTTTGTGTGAACTAATATAAATTCAAAGTAAACATCATTACATAAAAGGGTATGGTCTTTTTTTTTTTTAGTTTTATTCATTTCAAACGGGCAGGATCCGGCCCGCGGGCCGTAGTTTGCCCACAGCTGGGATAGACTCAAATCCACAAAAATGAATCTGTTGAATAGAAAGTTATATTTGAGTTTATAAGAAAGCAGATTTCCTCTTCTTATTGGTCCATGCTTCCTTCACCACTAGCACACTGAGGACCTAAGTTAGGATGTGGGCTAACTTAGGAAAGGAGCTAAGGAGCTGTGGAGGATAGCTTTTGGTAGACCAAGGTTTTCACACTCCATCTACTGTGCACTGAAATGTACTAAAAGGCATGTTAAGGGAAGAGAGCTAAAGTGACAAGTCTCTGGGACCCCATGCCTACTTCAAACAAGACCATTTCTCTTATTTAAAAAAAAAATCTGTAAGGAACTTCCACATAATACTTTTTTAGAATGAATAGGTTCATTGCTAAAAGATAAGTACAAATCAGTTGTCCAAATCTAAGGTTAAAGATATCAAGAAAGTCCTCATGATTCACAACATTCAAACCAGATCTTGAAGACTAGGGATTCCATCTTAGTTTGGAAGCAAAATCATTTGTGTAATAAATGGTGCACGTCGGCTTGGAGTGCCCTTTGCATATCTTCTTCCTCTCAAACCTACTGCTACACAGTAATACAGTGCCCAGGACACCTATCAGCTGGTGAGAGTGGAATAAGGTGAGATTTAAACTCAAACCAAGAGATTATTCTACATAACAGAGTTAGGAGAGGTTTCATTGTAGAGGTGGTGTTTAGTTGAAGCTTAAGGTATCATTTATGTAAGAACTGGACGCCTAAATTTAGATACAGTTTGCACTCTCTGATAGATAGAGCAAAAATAAAAAAACTATACAAGGATAAAACTGAAACATTATCTTTATTATCATCATCTTTCAGGTGAAAACATTCATAGAGGTAAGCAGACATAATAATATATAAGTAATAGCACAATTATTATATTAATACTAATAGTAAGTAAAAATAGAATTAGTATTACATACTTCAAAATATTAATTTATTAGATATTAAGTTGCTGATTAACTGTCATTCTGACACTCATTTATTACATTGACAATATTTCTCTTCTTCTCTAGGGTGATTCTGGGGGACCTCTGGTTGTAGCACGTGATAGAAACATCTGGTATATTATCGGAATAGTAAGCTGGGGAATAGACTGTGGTAAAAAAAACAATCCTGGAATTTATACAAAAGTGACTCATTATCGGGACTGGATTAAATCTAAAACTACTATCTAATGTAACAACCATCTACCTCCAAGTGAAAATGTCATGTGTGGTGTCTAGGAAATTGTGTCCAGTATGTGTTTGCCATGTATGCTGTCATTGAGGTCAAGATGCAAATAAGCATGATTTGACAACTCTCCCCTTAGATGTGAGGAAAAGACAGGCTTTCTTTCACATAAAGAAGCATTTTGCTGAAGTGTTTTGCTGACCATGAACGTACAAGAAACTGTCATCTCCTCAAAGATCCACCATTGCTGCTGTGTCTCTGATGACCTCCTTGTTCACCTTTCTATCCCTACTATACGCTTCTCAGTTTAGCATAACCCAGCAGTTTAAGTAGGTAAGTAGCAATTGGCTAAGCATTCTCTATTTTTTTCCGCTGACAGATCACACTGTCCTTCCCCTGACTCCACAGTTTTTAACCTTCCTCATCAAATAGTTCTCATTAGGAATCTGTAGGTCCATGTACTAGAAAATCAAGGTAATTAGTTTTTTGGCCAATGCTAACACAAATGATGGAGGGGCATTAGACATGAAACCAGGACTTAAGAGATGGCACTACTGTGAGTTCTTTCCCCTTTGCCCTCAGATGCATGTTTACCTCTCTTTGAAATTTGAAGAAAAACTGTCATTTACGTTTACACCCAGATTTTAATTTCCTTAAACAACTACACTAATCTTTACTTTTGAACAATAACGAAATATTTGAATCAGACAGCAAGAGAACTGAAAATATTGCCTAGCACTGGATTTTGTTTTAAACTATGTAAAAATGCCTTTTGATATTCAGAAAAGAAAATAAAAGTTTCTTGGCCTTTTCACTGAGAAGAGGAGGCAAGGACTGAGTAAGAATGAGCTTCTTTCCTCTCTAACAATGGGAGAAGTTCCGATCTTAGTGTAAATTTACTTTTCAGTTCTGTTTAATAATTTCTTAATACAGTTTATTTTCTAAAAAAAATTATTTTCAATCAACTTCAGAACAGAACCCACAGAATAAGTCAATGTATATTAGATATTCATAAATAATTTAAACAAGAAGCCAGTATAAAATTAGACATTCATGGATACTTTGATGCAAGATTTTGGGAAATACCTTACTATACAATATTTCAATTTTATGTTTAAAAGTTAGGCATTATTTGAAAAATGGTATTTATAGAAAAACTTACCAATCAAGAAAGCATCTTTGAAATGGTTTAATTCTTTACCTAGGTCATTTTCATATATATTTAAATGCATTTTTGTGGCACTGTACATGGCAACATGACATGAGTAATATTCAACAAAAGTGTTTCTGTGCATCTAAACTTTTATTTGCTTCCCCCCTCTTTTTATAATTAATTAATTTAGTTAATGAAATAACTGCCAATGCTAAGAATTTTTGTGTTCTTTCTTTGTTTTATATCAAGGAAGAGTCTCTCTTGCACTGCATGATATTATGTTATGTTATATACATTAAAATATATTTATAATAATAAAGTCAAACTCATTCTTTTTGGTCATCACCATACTGCAGGGTTTCTCATCCTTGGTACCGTAGACATTTTGTCAGAGATAAATCTTTGGGGGATGTGTTGCATGGAGGGCTGGCAGCTATCCTCTACTTTGTAGAAGGTTTAGTAGCATTCCTTCTTTCTATACGCTGGATGCTAGCAGTAACCCTACCAAGTTGCAACAAACAAAAATGAATCCAGACATTGCAAAATGTCCCTTGAGTGGCAAAATCATCCTCAGTTGAGAACCATAGTCATGGGATCAATAGCTAAAATAAAAATTTCACTGTTAAAAATCTTGCACCATAATTTTCTTACATGAGTTTGGGAATATCTTTCTCCTCCTCATTTTTTAAATTGATTTTTTAGAGAGAGAGAGAGAAAAAAAAAACCACATCCATCAGATTGAGGGATAGAACATGCAACCTGGATATGTGCCCTGACCAGGAATTGAAGCCATCACCTTTGGTGGACAGGATGATGCTCCAACCAACTGAGTCACACCAGCCAGGGCTCTTCTCCATCTTTTTATAATGCTGATGCATTGAGGATGCTGAGAGACCATCATGATCTCACCCATAGCTAAATAATTCTAGATAAATTAACATCATTTGGAAACTGGACCTTGCTGGAGGAAGTAGGCTGTTTGAAGTTTGAACTGCTATAGGCAAATAATTCATCTGTCTATCTGTCTATACAACCACCTATGGAGAGACTTATAGAGAGAGAAATCTATATCTTATATGATAAAAGACTAATATGCAAATTGACCTTAATGGCAGAATGACCAGTTGCTATGATGCACACTGACCACCAGGGGGAAGACACTCAATGCAGGATCTGCCCCCTGGTGGTTAGTGTGCTCCCACAGGGGGACCTCCACTCAGCCACAAGCTGGGCTGACAGCTGCGAGTGCAGTGGTGGTGGTGGGAGCCTCTCCCGCCTCCTCAGCAGCTCTAAGGATGTTTGACTGTGGCTTAGGCCCGCTCCCAAAGGAGAGCGGGCCTAAGCCATCAGTCAGACATCCCTCGAGGGCTCTCAGGCTGTCAGAGGGATGTCTGACTGCCAGCTTAGTCCTGATCCCCCAGGGAGTGGGCCTAAGCTGGTGGGTGGACATCCCCTGAGGGTTCCTGGGTTGCCAGAAGGATGTCTGACTGTCAGCTTAGGCCTGATCCTCCAGGGAGTGGGCCTAAGCCGGCAGGTGGATATCCCCCAAGGGGTCCAGAACTGTGAGAGGTTGCAGGCCAAGCTGAGGGACCCACCGAGTGCACAAATTTTTGTGCACCAGGCCTCTAGTAGATATATACCTACAAAGAGAGATATTTCTCAAATACCTTAATTATGCAAAATTGCACCATAAATACCCTATTTAGTATCTTCAAAATGCATAAAGAGATACTACTTGAAAGAGCATTATGTATTAGGCTGAGGCAGAATGGTCCACTCCATCATTCACTGACAGTGTAGAGTGGAGAATAGAAAATTGCAAAGCAACACTAGGCATTAAAAGCTGCACTGTCCAATATGGTAGGCACTAACCAGATGGGGCCATTTAGATTTAAATTAGTTTAAATTAAATACAATTAAAATTTCATTTCTTCAGTCATACTAATCTCATTTTAAACACAAAATAGCTACCTATGGCATATCGGGCAATATGGATATACATCATTTCCATCATTGCAGAGAATTTTATTGGACACTACTAACCTAGAACATTCTATGCAACTACTTAAATCAGCAACTTTCAACCTTTTTCATCTCATGGCACACATAAACTAATTACTAAATTTCTACAGCAAACCAAAACGTGCACTATATATTTTGCCAATCTGACAGAAAAATTGGTATAAGTTTGATTCATTCACACCAGACAGCAATTGTTGTGTTGACCAGTATCATATTTTTATATGACACTATGGGAAAAGAGGTCAGTGCCCTGACTAAATGGGTATTGCTTGTTTTAAAAATTCTTGCAGCACACGGGTTGAAAATCATTGACTTACATAATCACTTATTCATCAAACAAACATTATTTGAGGCTCTATGTGTCAGACATTGAGTACTCTAGACACTGGGTATACAATTGTATATAAAGCCAAGTCCTGTTTTCAAGATCACATACAAAGGTACAAGTTTGTTTGATAACTGCTGGTGAAAGTAGGAAACCTCGGGGGCGGGAGGGGGGCGGGAAGGGGTCGCTCCTTTCAGACTCTCCTTCCTCTAGGGGCACTGGTCCAGGAGTGGAGAGGTGAATCTCTGCCGGAAGCCGGTCCATCCTTGCTGCTTGACACAGTCGCTGTAGGAAAGAAACATCTGCACAGCATATGTTTCAATGGACCTGGCGTATATAGCATACTGTTCTTAATATGTTTGCTCCCTTTAGCGCCATGTGTTTTAACCAAGGTCACCTCTCCGAGAAAGGTTGTTTCCCCAGGTGGGGATCTTTCCCTGAGGTTAGGGAGGGGATACAACCCCTTAATTAAGTGCCAGGCGGGTAGTTAAGCTACATAATCTTTACTCCCTGGAATGGAGATAAGAAACGCCCTAACCTTTGTAATAGAAATTGACAGGATTAAAATCGGCTGGTATAAATACGGATGTAACAAGACAATAAACATCAGATCCTCATCAGATCCTGATCAGTTCCTAACCAGAACTCCGACCAGAACTTTGGCTGGAGATCCTGGCTAGAGGTCCTGACTAGGTTGCTGATCAACTGAAGGCTGTCTTCGTGTCATTCCTTCTTCGCCGACTCCGTCCACACCTTTGGGGACCCCTGGACCCGCTGGGGTTGGACCCCAGCAAATCTCTGTATGAGTACAGCAGGCCTACCAGACACCCACAGGTAGATGGAAGTGGGCAGAAATCACTTTTCAAACTTCCAAAGATCCCAGAACTTCCCCAATTAACGGTATATTAAAGAATAAAAAAAATTCTTTGTTGCTTTTAAAATAAACAGGGAATTTCTTATAACCCAACAAGATATATAGTGACAACCAAAGAAAAGAATATCAAGTAATGGAGAAGTATCAGAGTCACAAAGTTGAAAATATTAAATGATGTTTTAAGCAAGAAGCCAACCCAAATAAAACAAGGTTTGGCATGTGCAATATGCTAATGTCATTTTGGTTGCCAGAGAGGTGGGAAGGGAGTTGATGAGCAAGAAGGGTGAAGGGGAATAAGAGGCACAACTTCCAGTTATAAAATAAAATAAGTCACAGTGATGTAATGTACAGCACAGGAATTACAGTCAATAATGTCACAAAAATTGTCTACAGTGACAGATGTTACTAGACTTATTGTGGAGATCACTTCATAATTCATAAATATATAACTGTTGAATAAATAGGTTGTACACCTGAAATTAATATAATACTTTATGTCAACTATACTTGAATTAAAAAAGAAAAAAAACGCTGCAAGGTACTAAGAAACTTAGACCAAATGTGTTACTATGCTGCCATCTCCTGGTCAATGTTATTTTTAATATATATTTTATTGTCATCTCATTTCAAA